TTGTTTTTCCTATTGTTGTAAAATAATGGAATTTCTAATCTTTTGTTTTGATACAAACGATACCATTGTTTACTTTGTTATATAACTTATCTATATTTGGTGTTATTAGGTGGCACTATTGACTTTAAAGACGTTATTGCATTACAGATACAGGTATTATCACGTGTCGAGTTATATATCTCTAAAAAATCGAGGGAGTCTCTTAGGATGGAGTGTGACACCTATTATCAGTAAACCCCTAAAGATAACTACAAATTATCCAGACAAGCCACCTTTCAATATCACTAGCCCTCTCCCTCACCCAAAACTTAACCCTTTACCCAAACCTCTACAAACTCCAAACAGCCCCATGTACAACAACCCTAAGAATCACCCATCTGCTGTCCACACAAACCCTTTAATCATCCATCAAAGCTTCCATAACATAAGAACCATTTTCCCAAATCACATCATAACTCCCACCTTAACAGACACCCTACCTATTTCCTACAAGAATGCCTTAGTCCCAGAAATGCGCAAAGAAGTCCACAGCAACTCAATGCAAATTGTGGAGTCCGATTTGGAAGAAAATTTTGAGGAGTCCAGCAGTCCCAGAATCAGTCCGTCCAGAGAAGAAAAAGCCTGAATCAGAATTCCTTGGGTTATGCTATTATTTTCAAAACCTATGGGTGCACACAGAACTACCAATGCTTGGTTGGGAAATTAACTGCCTTATGGAAGACAAAGGATAAAATGGAAGGTTTAGCTTTAGGTGAAGGCTTCTATATATATCGCCCGTTTCCACCTTGAAGAAGATGCCACGAGGATACTTAGTGAAGGTCCGTGGTTCATTGGACAACAATGCATTGGTGTTCAACAATGGAAGTATGGGTTCATTTACCTAGGTTACCAATTGAGTTTTACGACCCTCTCATCCTGAAGAAAATTGGACTCAAACTTGGTAGGATAATCAAGATTGACGCCACAATTGAAGACATCTCTTGAAAATATTTGCAAGATTGTATGTTCAAATTAATATCTCTCAACCTCTTGGCTCGCATTTTTTCATTGGCAAACACAAGTAGTGGATCATGTACGAAGGCCTTAAAAAGATATGTTTTACCTGTGGCCATCCTGGACAAGACACTGATGTTTGCGGTGCATCGATCACTTGCCAAAATCACACGTTTTCAGCAAAAGCAAATGGCACAAAGCCACCATGGAAAGATTTACGAACTCCTAAAATAAAGAGGAAGAAAACTTTGGTCTATGGCTTGCAGCGCAGCATAAAACACCAAGAAGTAAAACCCACAAGGAGAAGCTGGCGACTACGCCCCATTTCAAATCGTCACTAACTATATTCTAAAGGGCAAAGCAGCTTGGAGGATGAAGGCGAATGGAACAATTGAATCACTCATTACTGGAATCAAATGAAAAGTAAATGTGGTGAACTTGATAAAGATGATGGTATGGATAGCTTAGTCTCTTGGGATTCTGAGGATTCAATGGATTAAAGTTACATGGAATTGGCATTTGCAAAACTTGCACTAGCAAGATGTTTCAAGGACCCATAACAAAATCTCGTAAATCGTCATTAAGGCGAAAGTCTTTTGGACGAATTGCCATTAAGTGACCAAATGATGTCAATGAAAATGATGAAAATAGAATTATTTTCTTCATGTCTTGGTTTACGTATCTAGGAGATGTTTTTTTTTTTTTTGGATCAGGTGGTGAGCTACATTGTAAGACCTACGGCCATGTATCAAGCCTCGATGCTTGATTTTATTTTTGTAACTTTCTTTTCCCTTAAATCTCAATTTACATTTAGCAAAAAATATATATTATATATTTTTTATATTTTTTTGTCAAACAGATTGATCAAATTGTAAAGTATTGTTTGTATTATAATATTGTTGCTTACCGAAAAATAAAATATACAGAGAATCATATATAAATGTAATACTAATAAATGAGTCAAAAAAAATTTAGAAGTCGAATATTAATAATAAAAAAGTCTAAAGAATTTAGAAGTAAAAGAGGTAGACAAAATAAAAATTAGATTAAGGTAAATATATGGTATAATTGACCTTATAATAATAATTATGAATAAAATAAAATTTTTCTCAGATGTTGGCATTATTAAGGATAAAATAAAAAATTAATTTTTTTTCTCGCTAATATTTACAAGTAATATAGAATAGATAAAGATATACATTTTTTTCTTGTTGACATTTTATTAATATATTATTATGGATATGATATTTTGTAGATATAATAATAAAATATAAATAAATATTTTTTGTTCTTTTANATACCGAAAAATAAAATATACAGAGAATCATATATAAATGTAATACTAATAAATGAGTCAAAAAAAATTTAGAAGTCCAATATTAATAATAAAAAAGTCTAAAGAATTTAGAAGTAAAAGAGGTAGAGAAAATAAAAATTAGATTAAGGTAAATATATGGTATAATTGACCTTATAATAATAATTATGAATAAAATAAAATTTTTCTCAGATGTTGACATTATTAAGGATAAAATAAAAAATTAATTTTTTTTCTCGCTAATATTTACAAGTAATATAGAATAGATAAAGATATAAATTTTTTTCTTGTTGACATTTTATTAATATATTATTATGGATATGATATTTTGTAGATATAATAATAAAATATAAATAAATATTTTTTGTTCTTTTACTTTTTCATTCATACCAAATACGAAAATAAATAATTCCTTGTATTTCTCATTCCTGCCACCAGACACAAAAGAGAGAGCAAATGTTTATTTTTTTTATGTAGATAAAAAGTGTATTAATTCAACTTTTCTTCATTTAATTCTTTATTCTAGCCTACAACACAAACCACAATAGTGGGAAAAAGAAAAAAAAAAGTAAAAAAAAAAAGAGCAATATTATTTGGATTTAATTTATTAAATTAATTTTTTGACATAATTGCTCATAATTAGGGGGGAAGAGGCGGGGTGGGGCGCGGGCAATTGCCCAGACTGAAATTTTAAAAAAAATTAGGGTTAATTTAAAATTATAATAAAAATTAAATTNTAAGTAAAAAAAAAAGAGCAATATTATTTGGATTTAATTTATTAAATTAATTTTTTGACATAATTGCTCATAATTAGGGGGCTGAGGCGGGGTGGGGCGCGGGCAATTGCCCAGACTGAAATTTTAAAAAAAATTAGGGTTAATTTAAAATTATAATAAAAATTAAATTTTATAGTAACTTACCCCCACTCATTTTTTTTAATGAACTAAAAACTTAGATTCAAAATTTGCTCATATAGACTTAATCTTACAATTTTTTCTTTAGTGATCTCCGGTTATATTTATTCCTTCTACAATGACTCACTTAAATTATCAAATCAATCATTCTCCAAATTCCATTACTAAGGCATAAATTAATATTTTTGACCAACTACCCAAGTTTGAATATACTACATCATATTCTAAAATTTAGATTTGGGCNTTACAATTTTTTCTTTAGTGATCTCCGGTTATATTTATTTCTTCTACAATGACTCACTTAAATTATCAAATCAATCATTCTCCAAATTCCATTACTAAGGCATAAATTAATATTTTTGACCAACTACCCAAGTTTGAATATACTACATCATATTCTAAAATTTAGATTTGGGCATAAAAAAAATTAATCTGATTATGATTTAATTCACTTCGATTCAATTTGATATGCATACAAATATGTATATGTAAACATTTAATGAAACTAAGCTATAAAATTGAATTAAAATTACAGTGCAATAAATAAATAAATATATTTTTTAAATTGAATTTTTGATAAAATTCACAATATTTAATAGATTCGAATATGGATTATAAAAATAAAAATCAGTTAAATAATTAGATTAGATTTAAAATAAACTTTTTAAGACAAATTATCATTCGGATGNAATGTATATGTAAACATTTAATGAAACTAAGCTATAAAATTGAATTAAAATTACAGTGCGATAAATAAATAAATATATTTTTTTAATTGAATTTTTGATAAAATTCACAATATTTAATAGATTCGAATATGGATTATAAAAATAAAATCACTTAAATAATTAGATTAGATTTAAAATAAACTTTTTAAGACAAATTATCATTCGGATGAGTCGAAATTATATCATTGACAAGCTTACTCACAAAGTGATAGGTCAAAATAACATTCTACATGAAAACTATCTTTATTCTAGTACTTTATACAGAAAAATTTATATTAATTTTTCTTAGTTAAGTCCTATCATTTTTTCACATGTATTTTCTAGTACTTTATACAAAAAAAATTATATTAATTTTTCTTATTATGTCCTATCATTTTTTCACATATATTTATATGAGAAATTTTTGAAAGTAAAAAAAATAATGTGAAGAATGATTTTATAAAAGGTGTTTAGATTGAGAACATTTTTTATAGAGAATGAAATTTTGAAAAAAAAAAAAATCATGTTCACTAGATGTAACGAATTTTGATAATTGTTGTGTAATTGTTCTCTTTAACTTGATGATTATTCCCACAAAAAAGAGACTTTGGCTTCGCACCAATTCATAATCATGGATTGACAGTGAACCCAATATTTATCGGAATATGCTAACAATCTAAAGCTGTGATTGATTAAATTAATAAATTAAATCTAAATAATATTATTTAAAAAAAAAACGCCACCTCTCAAGCAGGACTGAAATTCTGTTAAAAAATTAATAGTAGAAATATTGTTAATCAAAACGATGTCGGTTTAATACAAAATGATACTATTTTAATCTACGCCACCTCTGTTTAAGTCGTAAGAGAAAACTAACAGCAGAGGAGCGGACCCCAAGCGGGTTGTTGAACAAATGCAGTGTCAACTGGTCAGCCTCGTAATCAGGCAACCAAACACGCCCTCCAAATCTTCCCTAGGATTTCATGTTTTCCGATGTCAAAAAACATCAAATTAAGGTTCTTCTAGCTTACCTAGGCCTTAACCTCACTCGATCTCTGCTTTTTCAAGGCCATGGGCAACACATCTTCGATGCTTACTCAATACGACATTGAAGAAGTTCAAGAACACTGCAATCACACCTGTAAGCACACAAACAATCATATAGTTTTGTGGGTGTTAATTTAATTTTTCTAAAAATTATGTTTTGGTTTTTAATTATTGAGAAGTATTGTTGTTGTTATTCCTCAGTTTCACAGCAGGAGATAGTTGCTCTGTATCAGAGGTTCTGTCAGCTGGATCGCAATGGGGGTGGCTTCATCTCTTCCGAAGAGTTCATGTCTGTGCCCGAATTTGCCGTCAATCCTCTCTCTCAGGTTCTTGTTTGCCAAAACTCTCAACTTCTCTTTTACCAAAAAAAAATTATCTAGCATGTGGGTAAGAAGGAGGCTACATACTAAAAATTACAAATTTTTGTAGGTTAAATTACAAATTTCGGGATTAAGTTATAACGAAAAATATAGAAGTTAAGATTGATCTTAGAAAAGCATGTAACTTTTGAGGAATAAGTTATACTCTTCTGGGATTGTTCCATATATCCTTGTGATTATTTAAAATCAAAGTGGGTAATGTGAAAAAGTCAGTAAAAANAGGAATAAGTTATACTCTTCTGGGATTGTTCCATATATATATATATCCTTGTGATTATTTAAAATCAAAGTGGGTAATGTGAAAAAGTCAGTAAAAATTAGGGTATTGGAGCATGAAACTGTCCTCATTCTTGCATTTGAAAAATACAATAAAAAGAAGGCAATTTGGTATTGTGGAAACACATCCTTGAATTTGAATTGAAGACTATATTGGCTCATACACTGATAAAACTACTTTTATCTTGCAATACTGCTTACAAGGCATTAATTCCATGCCACCAAGTACCACCTAAGAACTTAGATATAATATTTGGAGCCCAAGAGGGACCCAATATGACTGTTTTGTATACATGTGTGTGCAAGGATGTATGTGTATACTTCCATGGCGGTCTATCTGCACAAACGTTGCATACTTGCAATGATCAGATGAGAAACTGAGTAGGGTTGCCAAATTTGAATTTCAAAATGCCGTTTGCTTTTTCAGAGATTGCAGAGGATGCTGGATGGGTTGAATTTTAAGGAGTTTGTGGCATTCTTGTCTGCATTCAGTTCCCGAGCAAGCTTGCAGCATAAAGTGGAATGTAATGATTCTTTCTGTTATATGTCTTTCTAAAATTATTCTGTATCTTCTAGTCTAGTTGGTGTTGTTTTATCGTTTTCACTTGCTGAATGCCATTCAGAGTCTTACATTTCAATCTATGTTGTCATTGTGGTACTTATTTGTTTCTGTAGTCATTTTTAAGGTTTATGATTCTGATGGCAATGGGAAGGTTGCATTCAATGACTTGTTGGATATTCTGCGAGACCTGACTGGACATTTTATATCTGAGCCACAAAGGGAGGTTGGTTTCTTCACCCATGTGTGTCTTTTCTTAACGTTTTCTAGCAAAACCTTGAAAATTTTAATTTGAAGTTCCAAATTTTTAGGTTACTCCCAATTCTAGTCTTAGAGAAAACCATGGAAAAAAAATAAAAAACTTCTCCAAGTTTTTGAAGTTCCACATACTATGTTTTTTGCAATTCTATTCTCAGAGAAAAGGATGGAAAATTTTGAAGAACTTCTCCATTGTATGGCAATGATAATAGTAGGCGTTGAGTGAAAATTCTTTGCATTCCCAAACCATAAGGGAAGGGCGAGAACATTGTAAATAATCTGAGATGTGAAATTCTAGTTTTCCTTTCCGATGTATTTTCACCAACCAAAGGTAGCTTCCTTTTTGAATGCCAAAATGAAAACTCAAATTTCATATGGATTTCAATAGGAAAAGAATTGGAAAATTTGTTTTTGTTAGTTTGAAAGCATGAAATCTAGTCAAATATGATATGATATCCTTATTGTTCATTTCCGTAGCAAACCCCTCTTCCTCCTACTTTTTCTTTTTTTTCCCTGCCGTAGGAGAGAGGGGGGGGAGGTAGAAAATGCCTTTAGTTCCCCCCTTTTTGGGCCTTTGCCACCAACTTTTTTTAGTTTAATTTCACCATATTGCTAATTTGGCTATAGCTAGTTGAGGTGCCACTTTTATTTGATGCAAGAGCTNGGGAGGTAGAAAATGCCTTTAGTTCCCCCCTTTATGGGCCTTTGCCACCAACTTTTTTTAGTTTAATTTCACCATATTGCTAATTTGGCTATAGCTAGTTGAGGTGCCACTTTTATTTGATGCAAGAGCTTCCTAATTTAGTGTTTCCAGGTCTTTTATCATTGAATTCATGTTCTAGACTGAATTGGTTGTCCTCTTTGATTGGCAAACATCAAAATAGAAGAATGCTGGGGGAGGACTGGTAGGGGGGTGGGGAGGAAGGAAGGATGATAGGAATAACAATCATTTTCAAATCTGTTCATTTTCTTTTGTTTTATGGTTGTTGGAAAGTGGGACTGATGCAGAACTATTAAAAAAAGAAGTAAATCTATTGGCAATCCCATACATCTTGTTTCCTAGAATACATGTTTTATAGGATGGTAATATAAGCCAAATGATTGGTGCTGCTAAAATTGTAACATTTTAGTAGAAATGAAATACTAAGCGTGAAGAAGGAAAAAAAAAAGGAATGAATTTTTCTTTAGTGTGTTTGAGGTATGTGATTATAAATAATGTTGTCAAAAGAATCATTGTTCCCATAATATTTTTACTATTTGAATGTTGCTAGTTGGTCAAAAGAGCCAAAACTTTTTCAGTCCTCTTGATTGACGATGTAAAGGTTTAGAAGTGACTAAAGCTGGTGCTTGTCTTTGTGTTTGTACAGCGAGTCCTGACCCATGTTCTTGAGGAAGCAGGCTACTCAAAGGATTCTTTGCTAGGTTTATCTGACTTTATGAAGGTCAGATCAGTTTACACTATCATGAGTACTTGGTACAACCTGAATATTTATTTATCCTGGGTTTGGATGTCTGGACGTGGATGTCAAAATTCTAAAATAGTATTGTCTATTTGTTGTTTGTATGGTGCTCCCTCCCTCTCTCTCTCTCTCTCATTTACATTGTATTATGCTATGAAGTCCTTCTATGTGACAATGATATAGTATCAAAAGGTAAGCTCTTGTGCATAACATGGTGTGACAAATGACAGTAGCATTTTATGCCATGGTATGAGTACAACATGTGATAATAATGTTGGACATGTGCACTTTAACTAGCATGCATACTCCTAAAGAGATGTCACACAGTGTTGACACTTTCCCACATAGTCTGACACATCTATAATATGTCTGGACTATCAATCTTGAATTCATGCTTTCCTTTTTCTTTTATTTTCTGAGGAAAGACTGTGCGGGAGGATTGTTACGAGAACCAGAATTATTGTTGTCGTGTAAATCATATAATGAGCACGCGCAATTTTGTATGATGACAAGGCAGCCCTTTCATGCAAGCAAAATGCGAAAAGTTTGGTTTGCACTGTTAAACCACTAACTCATCCAAAAAGTTAAGATGTTTAGGTGCAATATAAATATTTACTTACACTAACCCCTCCCCTTATGTGCAGGCAAAGCCTGGGTCAAATATGTGAAGTCTTAAAATTACCAGTGTGGTGATGAGATTTGAACTAAGACCTCTAGTGCTAATACCATGTTAGACTAACAACTCATCTTAAAATTGAAATTTCTAGAAAGGGTGTAACATAGATATCTACATACCTTGAAATGCACCTAGTTTAGCCACAAGTTTGATGGTATTTGACTGCACTATCTGTCTGCAATGTTGTAAATATTGGGGTTAATAGCACTTTTGGGACCTAAAATATGTATTTTTTGTCATATTAGTCCTCATTATATCAATTTTGTCAATTTAGTCCCTAAAGTACGTAATTTGTGTCACTTTGGTCTCTTATCATACAATTCGTCAAGTTTTTTTTGATAGAAGTGACTACGTGTCAATTTTTTAGAAGGTATCACATACCCAATATGTGATTATTCTATTAAAAACTTAACAGTCCGACTATGTAGGAACCAAAATAACACGAATTGAATACTTTATGGACCAAATTGACAAAATTGATACAATGAGGACTAAAATGACAAAAAATACATAGTTTAGGGATCAAAAGTGCTATTAATCCTAAATATTATTACTGTTGAAATATAAATATTTAAGTTACACCATCTTCAACAGCTTAAGGTTTTGGAGTAGATAATTATTTAACACTGTATCAGAGCACGAGCACCTATGATCGAATCTCGCCCCATTTTATTTATTAAAAGATTTTTGTTTGCTAGTCCAAAATTCAACTTGCATGTGAGGGGACGTATTTCAGCTTAAACTTTTAGAGTGGATGGTTGTTTAACAATTACATTACAAAACATCATGTTCACTGGTTCATGTCCTGTTTTTGTCTATAAATGTTCTCCTTACCTTTTTGGAACTACAGAATTCTTGGATTTTTAGACTTCCCTTAGACAAAATAATGGATAATTTTCTGCAATAAGCCCAACTCTGTGTAGCTGACGCTGTAGTTTCCTTGAACATTCTGTTGAGTGAAAAAAAAAACCTTCGTATTGGTAAGAAATGTCTGTTATAAATTTTATTTTAGGCATGTAAGTGACTTGCTAAATTTCACTATTTTAGGTTTAATACTCCTTACAAAATTAATTATCCCTATTGTTTTTACAGATACTTGGCAACTCTGGCTTGAAGATGGAAGTTGAGGTTCCGGTAGATTAGATACTGGTGATGGGTTGGAAGTTACAATTTTAAGATTGGGATTTTGGTTTTCTGTATCATTTTCACCTTGAAACAAAGTGACTTTGGCACTATTAGCAACAAATTGTTCTGCAAAATTGTTATTATTCAATGGTCGAATGCATTTACAGTTTCATGGTTAATCACTTCTCGGGTCTTGGTAACTAAGACAGATACTCACTTGCAGTCAGTAATACTTTTAATTGTGGCCACCATTCCAGGTTCAGGTGCTTTTTGATTCATTTTGCATATTATAGGTCACTGTAATCTCCATGTGATGGTGTAGTTTCTTGAGGGCTCTTGCAAGTTGAAGGGTGTTAACAAGGATGTGTTTTAGAAATGTCATATTTTACAGATTGTTCAGGGCATGAATGGATTTCATATTCCATGCTTGATTTCAGGTTACCATTGCATAAGGATGAGTTAAAGTGCATGATAGTGGGTCCACTCTAACACACTTTCTCTTCAATTTTCTTCTTGACACATCATTAACCATTCATTCATTCGGGACCCATTGTATACAAGTGGTCTTTCACTCATCAATAGAGGGTCTCTCATTTATTAATGATAGATGATATGCCAATAAGAGAATTGAAAGAAAAGCATATTGGAGGTGATTTAGATCGAGGAAAAACATGGTTATCAAAATCTCTATGCGGATCATAGAATTTTACAATCTAATATAAGAAAATTGATCTTAATCTCTCAAAACATCCCTAGAGTGATCATGGTTAGATTTGTCTTTAAATTTCNGAGGAAAAACATGGTTATCAAAATCTCTATGCGGATCATAGAATTTTACAATCTAATATAAGAAAATTGTTCTTAATCTCTCAAAACATCCCTAGAGTGATCATGGTTAGATTTGTCTTTAAATTTCACAATCTTTTGCTTCTTTTTTTTCATTGATGTTGAGCAGTCAAAATTATTTATTTAATAATCTTTCAATTTTTCTGTCTATCATNTCACAATCTTTTGCTTCTTTTTTTTCATTGATGTTGAGCAGTCAAAATTATTTATTTAATAATCTTTCAATTTTTCTGTCTATCATCTGATCTCCATAACAAGATCAACGGCCTACTTTTACTTTTCAATTTTCTTCAATGGTTAGATTGTGCTCCTCATATTTTAATCATCTCTCTTAACATTTCTACATTTTGCATATATAATTAGCTTGTTTTACTTTTGTTTTCAAGAATGTTATATTGTTACGTATATTTTTCGTATCATTTTTTTAGTTCAGCATCGTAAATTCAGATTCTCTAGTATTACCATCAATCAAAGGTAGGATCCCAATTACTCTCGCATATTCATATCAAGAACTTAATTTATTTTTGGGTAAAAAACACGAACACTCCTTGAGTTTTGGTAATTTTATATGGATATCTCCTGACATTTTATAAATAATATAGAGACCCCCTGAAGTTTGAAACTCTTTGCACGGAGACCCTTTTCAGTCTCCCTTCCGTCAATGTTGCTAATAAAAAATGATGATTTCATTCCAAAATTTTTATTATTTTTACAATTGTCCTTCTCCAAATTTAGTACTCAAAAAAATTGATATAATGTAGTACCCCAAAAAATTGATTAGATGAATTTTAATATTAATTTTGATAACAATAAAAATTAATTTGACAAAATTAAATGTCAATTTGATAAAATTAAATATTATTTTATAATCTAAAGTTTATTTTGTGTTGAATATTATTTGTTATTGATCAAATCAAACACGAAATTGACTTTAAATTATATTTTTGACATTATTATCAATTTTTTTTGGTATTAAATTTTTTTAAACTATCATTTTTTTCAAATTTTTGGTCAACTTTTTAATTTACTTTCATTTTTTTTTTACATGAATAAGAGGTTTTTGAGTTTACCAAGTGAAGGAAAGTGATTTTCTTTAAAAAAAAAAAAAAGTGGGGGTAAACAATTGATTTGGTTTAAGTATACGTAGTTAAATCTCAACCAAAAAAAAGAGGGAAGGCGTTATGCTACTAAAAAAAATATGTTTTTTAATTTTATGTGTTAAAATATAAATTTTTAAGTTTATCTATAATAAAAAATTTAATATTTCAAGTCAATTTTGTGTTAGTTTAATAAACCTTAAATAATATTTAACACGAAATGAACCTTAGATTGTAAATTAATATAAAATTTTATTAAATTGACATTTAATTTTGTTCAATTTATATTCAACTTTGTCGAATTAATATCAAATTAATTTTTACTGTTATCAAATTAATATTGAAATTCATTTAATCAATTTATTTGGATACTAAATTATATCAATTTTTTGGATACTAAATTAAATTTTATTTGATTTTATTAAATTTTTAATTTTTTTGAGTACTAAATTTGGAGTATGGCACTTGTGAAAATAATAAATAAAACTGGGATGAAATCATCATTTTTCGTTAGCAATGATGGAAGGGAGACAAAGGAGGTCTCCATGTTATTTGTAAAATGTTAGGGGGTGTCTGTGTTTTTACAACTTATTTTTTTATTTTTTGGGGTACATAAAAGGAGATAATTGAGACAAGTAAAATAGTGTCCTACAAAATAATATTTAAACAATAGAACAACCCTTAACACCCTCCCTTAAAGTGGAGCACATAGATTTAAAAAAAAAAAAAAAAAAAAAGACCAAACAAAGACTACTAAAGGTTGACAAACAATAATCTCTTTTTTCATTATAAGATTCTAATTAAAATAACAATCAATTTCGATATATTTAATAAACTCATGAATAATGGATCATTAACACTCACAAAAGTGTCTGCTTACAAAAATATAGTTGCATAAGGGTTAGAAGATCAATTAGCTTATCACAAACTAGAGAGCAGAACAAAGACTGATACTTTTATTGGATCAAGCAACCTCAATTCTCATAAAGTAGCGAAGAAGATCCAAGTATTTGGTGTGAAACTACTTTCCTAAATAGATCCTAAGGGAATAAATACCTCTGAGTATTATTGCTAATAACAATGTCATCAACATACATAATGAGAAATATGATACCGATAGAGGAATGATCGGTGAACACTAGAAATAATCTGAAATACAACGGTGAAAAACAAATTGGAGCACAAAGACACTAAACCTATTAGACCATGCACGATGATTGTATAAGACCATACAATATTTTCTTCAAACGATGTATTTATTGTTCTTTTACCAAAACAACATCGCTCGGTGGCTGGCTAAATCATGTATACTACCTCTTGTAGATCCTCATATAGAAAAATAGTCTTTATATCAATGTGATATGAAAGTCAATCAAAACTTTCTACAATAGAAAATGAAACTGTAACAGGGTTAAGACGTGCAAAAGAAGACAAAGTCATAGTACTCCAAACATATGTTTGGATGTAGCCATTGACAATCAATCAGACCATTAGGCACCCAAGAGAGTCATCTGGATGGTACTTCACAACATAGACTAAACGACAACTAACAAATTACACACCAAAATGAAGAGAAATGAGATCTCATATTCAATTCTCATTAAGTCTATTGATTCCTTACCCATAACTAGTTTCTATCGATCCAACAAATCACCTAAAATAACAAGCATGAAGAGATGATCTTTCACATGTATTTCCCTCGTCGAAAATTGTTGGTGCCATGTTCATGTAACATTACTTTATTATTTTGGTAAGCTGCTGATGTCATTGACTAATTATATTATTATTTTGGTAAGCTGCCGATATCAAATTAAATTACACGCTGGTTGAGTGTTGGGTTTTGAAGGAGAAGGAAAATGAAACAAATAATAGAGATTGTTGTCCTATTGGTAGGACGGTTGTTGCCTACACTCTAACACATACTCATATTACTAAGATAATAAAAAGCAATTATAATATCTTCTTACACACAAGAATATTCTGACAGAGATACGAACCCTAAAAGAGGAAGTGTGTGTGTGTGTATGGACATTTACCCACCATGATGAGGTCTAAAGATATTGAAAAATACTACATAATTCAAATGAAACTCAAAAGATGTAATCCTAAATGTATATCATTCTTTCAATGAGTGTTGGACGAGTAGATTTTATTGAAAAAATTGATGAAACTCACTCATCCAATGGATGATATACATTTACGTTACAATTTTTTTAATTTTATTTGAATTATGTATCATTACTCATAGGTATTTGAGCCTTACGGTACACTCTAATGAGTTTTAGGACCCCTGATCTCTATCACCAGTGATATTTTTTGAAGAGGAATGTTATTTGGACTTAATTTATTGATTACATTTTTTGACTAATTTATTATAATTATGGATTAACAATGGAATTAGGTCGGCAAATTAATTAGATCTAAAGTATTACTCCAAAAGCTTAAGTTATTGGAGAGAGGATTTATATTTCAACGCGCCTCCTTACTTGCAGGCTAGATTTTGGGCTTAGCTCATGGAAATCTTTTTAATAATTAAGATGGCGGCGAGATTCGAACACAAAATTTCATGCTCTGATAACATGTTAAATAACTATCTATTCTAAAAACTTAAGTTATTAAAGAAAATATAACTTAAGTATGTATAATTCAACACAGATAACACTACTCATGTTTTAAATGCCAAACATTAACTAGAATTTAGTTTTATCTCTGAAATTTCATGGATTTTTTGCCAAAACTTTTTGGTTGAATGTTAATTTCAGGTTGAGACTGAAAAGTTAGAGCAACCCATCAATTTTCTGAATATGTCCTCCCAATCAAGATAACCAAACTTTTCTTTTATATGCTGAAATCGTTTTCTAAAATTTTGTATTATAAATCGATAGTAATATTATCGGGATCTAGTTTGTTAACATAATTTCTTGACCTATCAGAGTTATCAGATTGACTGTGAACCCCATAGTATTAATTGAGACCCACTAACAATCAAAGGATTTTGTTCGATTAGCTGATATCGAAATTTAAATGTGTATAATAAATTAATAGTAATATTATCAGGATTTAATTTATTGACCA